AAAAAAAAAAAAAAAAAAAAAATGAGGGCCTGGCCTCTGCACCTGACCTTAACCAGCCAGAGGGGTCTAGGCCCACAGTAGGGCATTAGCAGGGTGAGGCTCGGGAACCAGCCAAAACCCAGGCCTATAAGAGGGCATCCCCCAAACATGAGGCATGGGGCGGTCAGGGGAGTGAGGCCTCCAAGTGTGAAACCAGCTGGGAAAAAAAATGAAGAAAGAATTAAGAGATCCAGAGATGGAGGGAGAGGGAAAGAGGAAGTTAAGAGTAGAGAATGGGAAGAGAAGTTAAAAAAGTTTAGAAAAGGAGTCTTAGATGAGTGTTCATCTCACCATTAGATGGAGTTTAGGCAGGGTCAGAGAGGTTTCCCATTTTCTTTTGCTTTGCCAGTAGGGTCTGTTTAGCTGGGTCCAAAGGGGTATACTTTGGCCTCCCAAAGGGCTTCTCCCCATCTCAGGTTCAGCACCAAATGAAAAGTTACAGAGCCAAAAATGAAAGATTATTCTGAAGTGTGAGACGAAAGGAAAATGGAGGCCTGGTTTATGCAGTTAAAATGGCATTATTCCACCCAGGTGCAGGTGGGGAGGATCTCCAACCAGGAAGAAATCCACCCCAAGTAAGAGTGTTATGTGCTTATCTGTATAGTTACATTTTGTCATCAATGTATACACTAGGAATAGAAGATGTATGGAATATTGTTCATAGTGTCTCTGATGGGCAAGTTGAAATTAAAGACCTTTCGTCTACCTTGAATAGCCTGGAAAAACCTTTAAATGAAGAACAACTTACGGTATTACTGAACTCTGCAACAGATGGTGAGTACTTCTTAAATCTCCTGTTAGAACATATATATTCACAAAGGTTAAATTTATTTTTATTTATTTTTTATTGTTTCATGTTAATTGAGGATACATTGAGGGTACATTGTTTGCTTTTGTTAAGTAAAGCCCCTCTTATAATTGTGTCCCACCCCCATGTTCCATACACCCTAACCTTGTGCCCATTAAGTTGGGACACATGCATCCCCTCCCCTCTCCCTGAATTGATTTGAATTTTCATCTTATGTGGGCATGTGTTAGACCATCTACTGGCTATATTTTGGAATTGAGCACTCTGGATTCTTGTTTCTCCATTCTTGTGATACTTTATTGAGAAGAATGCATTCCCACTATATGCAGGTTAATGCAAAAGATGTAAAGTCTCCATGTTTTTAATGGCTGAATAGTATTCCATGATATACATATACTGCAGCTTATTAATCCATCCTGAATAGGCGGACATTTAGGTTGTTTCTAATTTTGGCAATTGTGAATTGAGCTGTGATTAATAGTCTAGTGTAAATGTTCTTAAGATAAAATGATTTTATTTGTCCTAGGTAGATTCCTAGTAGTGGGATTGCAGGATCAAATGGGAGATCTAACTTTGAGGAGTCTCCATACTTCTTTCCAAAGAGGCTGTATAAGGTTGCAGTTCCACCAACAATGTAGACGTGTCCCCCTCTCTCAACATCTACACCAGCATCTGTAACTTTGGGACTTTGTGATATATGTAAACCTGCCAGTTCCTAAACATAGTGTTACCCATTTTTTCGAAAAAATTTAACCTTTGTGATGGTTAATTTTTTTTGAAAAAATGAGTAACACTGTACGTTTCAAGAGATTGTTGTGGAACTGGCAGGTTCACGTATTGCTCACTATGAATCTTTAAAACCCTTTTTGGAAAGTATATGAATATTCTTTATTTGGACAAGACAAATAGAAGTAATCTTGGTATTCATATTTAAAAACCAGATGTTCAGTGCCTGCCCAACTATCTCAGTTGGTAGACCAGGAAACTGTTAAAGCAAGATATTAATTATGGGAGAGTAATCATCAAAATAAGAATATGACAGAATCTTCCTCTTTCTTTTCCCCAACCCTAGATTCTAGAGATAAGATAATTCTTACAGACAGAATTCCACAAGCTTTTGGCTTTTTTTGATGCCAAATATAATCTTAGCCATCTTACCATTGTTAGAGTCACATAATTTTTAGACCAGATAGAGTATTGAAAGATAGGTGTGAGGTTCAGCAAGTGACTTCTGGAATGGTCAGAAGACAGGCATTACACGGTCCTACTTACTTTACCCAGAGAATTTATGTGGTGCTTAGCTATAGGATACATCAGAGATGAGGCAGAGATAGCACTTTTCTAGGTACTTGCCCTAGCTAACTGCAAGGACAGGGTTGCAATTAGTTATTGGCCTTTCCTGTATTATTTCAAATAAGAAACTTTTGTCTCTCAATATTGCAACTTCTTCGTTCTTCCTCATGTTAACTATGGTTAATATTTGCTCACCAGGGAAGTTTTAGATATATTGATTGAATATTCAAGCCCTTAAATTGTTATGTTTTTTCACCATGAGACCTTTGGGATGACTTTTTAAAATCTTGTATGTGTTTATTTGGCTTAGTACATGCTAAAGCATGAATAAACATTTCACTAACTCTCCAATACATGAATTTTAATTCATGTCAAACACCAATATAGGATTAAGACTACAAAGAGTGTGTGTGATTGTTTGCTGCTGATGGTGTCTTAATTCTATTACATAATACATGTTGGCTACAAACAATGATGTGATTTGAGAACAACTTAGATGTCCAATAGTTATGGTAATCATCTGCTCAAAATACAACTATGTAGCCATTAAATATGAAAAGTAATAACTTATATATGTTTGAGAGAAAAACATGCAAAAAATACATAAACTATAATTTCATAAATAGATACACTTTACATGTGTATTTACAAAGGAACTTGGAAAAAATAGAAATGGTTACTGTTTGGATTATAGAGATTATGGGTGAATTGCATTTTTAAAATTATAATGTAACTTTAACAACAAATACTTAAATCACAAAACAAGAGAGGTCATATAATCACTGCAGTGAACTTCTTTCCTTTTTGTGGTTTATGTTTGCTTCAGAAGAGGAGTAGAGAAAGTGTAATTTGTGCTGGGATAAAAGGATAGGGGAGGTTATGTATTTTCATCACCTTTCCAGTAGTAAAATTCAATATTCTGATGTTTAACATCAGCGAATATAATTTCTTATGGGTATATGTCCATAAATAACATACTCATTTATATAATTCACTGACTTCTAAGAACTCTTGCTCTTTCTCTCTCACTCAGTTTTTTTTTTTTTTTTTTTTTTTTTGCTTCATGATGATTTGTTGGCAAAGATTATGTTTAAGGATTTTTTATTGGCATTTCATAAAAAATCTGTGTCAGTTTTTGAAATGGTTGTCAACTGGCTAATTTGAAGGCATTTAACATGATATTTTTAAGCTATTAGGAAACCTCCATGTGTATCCAAAACCCAAGAATATTTTGGAAGATGCTAAAACCACCATACTAAGGTTTTGAATTGGAAATGTGGCTGTGGACTTTGCTGCTTTTGAGCTATTTAGGAAAAACTGGAGGAACCCGGAAATACAAATTGTCTTGTGAATTCTGCTGCTTTTCATTTGCTATATTTTTTCTTTTTATTGTTAAATTATTATTAATATTAAGCTTAGTGCTAGCCTCAGAAGTTAAATAGATTAGTAAAATAGTCTTTGCTCTAGAGGAGAACAGAATCCAGACTCCAGAATCCAGACTCCAGATTCCAGACTCCAGAAAGGCAATATGTAAAAAAAGTGAAAACAATATGTAAGAAATGTGAAGCTTAATATGTGCACTAAGAGGTATCTGATTGTATTTCTTTTCTTTCTTTTTTTTTTTTTTTGAGACAGAGTCTCACTATGTTGCCCTCAGTAGAGTACCATAGCATCACAGCTCACAGCAACCTCCAAGTCTTGAGCTTAAGCTATTCTGTTGCCTCAGCCTCCCAAGTAGCTGAGACTATAGGTGCCTGCCACAATGCCCAGCTACTTTTTTGTTGTTGTTGTTGTAGTTGTCATTGTTGTTTAGCAGGCCTGGGTTGGGTTTGAACCCACCAGCTCCGGAACCAATGAGCTATGGGCACTGAGTCTCTGATTTTAATTCTTTATTTAATTTTGTTATAAAATATATTCAACGTAACAGGGTAGTATATTAAATGTGTGCATAGCTCAAAGAATAACTTAACCATGTTAATTCTTAATCCTAGGTTAAGAAATAAAATCATTTTCAGTTCTCTAAAAGTTATGTAAACTACCCATGATTCTATTCCCTTTATTCTGAAACAGAGATAATCATTATCCTGACATTTGGGATAACCATTTTCTTGCTTTTGTTTTTAGCTTGCTATGCCTGTGGCTCAAAGGAGTAGGGCTTCAGCCCCATATACCAGAGGTAGCAGGTTTGAACCTGGCCCTGGCCAAAAACTGAAAAAAAAAAAAATTTAGTGTAGTTTCACTTGTTTTTGTACTTTATATAAATGTAATAATTAATAAATACTTTTTATAATTTGTTTATCTCAGAAACGTGAAATTTATCTAAACAGATGCATTGTAGCTGTGATTTCTTCATTTTTACTGTTGTTTAGTTTTTCATTGCTGGATAAACCACAACTTTAAAATAAATGAGCTCTACTGCTGATAAACTAAGAGCATATTTCAGTTTTTGGCTAATCTGTTATGAATCTATTTATCTGCTGATGTATGTGTGCAAGAGCTTCTCTGAGATTATTCTTTAGAGAAATATCCATATTTTACTTTACTGAATGATATCAGACATTTCCAAAGTAGGTATAAATATTTATACCCCCACTGACAAAGCTTAAGAATTCCTGTGGTTCCATATCTTAACCAACACTTGGTTATTGTTATATTTATTTTTGTTTTTTTCCTAATCTGATGGGAAGATGTCTAATTTTGGTTTTAATTTACATTTCTTTGATTACTAAAGAGATTGAGCATTTTAAATATTTTTTAGCTACTTCAATTTTCTGTTTAATGAAATGCTCAGTTAGGAGTCAGGACTTTTACTCATTTGTGTTTTGGGATTTAAAGAAAAATATTAATTTATAGAAATTTGGCAGCACATGGTAGTTCATACCTGTAACCTCAGCACTCTGAGAGGCTGAGGTAGGTGGAGATTGCCTGAGTTTAGAACATTGAGACTAGACTGAGCAAGAACAAGACCCTGTCTTTACTAAAAAGAGAAAAACTAGCCACATAGTCCAGCTACTCCGGAGGCTGAGGCAAGAGGATCACGTAAACCCAGGAGTTTGAGGTTGCTGTGAGCTGTGATGCCATAGCACTCTAGCCTGGGACAGCAGAGTGAGACTCTGTCTCAAAAAAATAAAAAATATTAACATATTTTTATAGTCTTTTAAAGATGATTTTGTTATATTGAATTATTATGATACTCCTCCTTTTTATTTTATCTACTATCTTTTTATTTCAGACTCAATTGCTTCCTTGTATGGCTTGTAATTTTTGTGAACCTGTCTTCAAACAAGATTTTTAAAAAATTATGGTATAAGCTGTGTGAACCTTAAGATTTGGACGTGTTTATGTTTGTGTCTGGCAGAACTTCCAAGGTAGCACTGGTCTAAAATCTGTTCTTAGGGTAATTTCACAGCTTGGAGATTTCATCCAGTGTGGAAATGATAAATTCAGATCCATATCCATCCATTCTACAATCTTGAGTTTTAAATTTCTCATAGAATACTTTTCCATTCAGAGCTTTGGGCTGGTTAAGCTTGGGCTTAAGTTTTTTACTTCTCTTTTTACTGAGAAGGGAACCCTTCCAGAGACTAGTTTTTGCAGAGGTTTCTATTCTAAGCTCCTTACCTGCAGGGGTCAATGTCTCCTGACTGTGAATGGGCAGCATCTAACCCCCACCCCTAGCTGTCAGGACCTAAAACTACTGGACCTACCTATCATGCTTTCTTTTGAATATTTTTGAGTATCAATTTATTTCATGTAGTATATGTGGTCATAAGGAGTCTGTGTTTTGGACTCTGTCTCAAAAAAAAAAAAATCTTTATATATTCTGGATATGCTCTTTAGCACTATATTTTGCCCATATTTTCTCTCAATCTGTGGTTTGTCATTTCACTTTTTATGCTGTATTTTGGTAAAAATTCTTCATTTTAATGTACTCACATCTATCAGTATTTACCTTAGTTATTAGTATATTTTATGTCTTATTTGAGAAATCTTGCCCCATCCTGAGATCATGGAAGGATTATTCTATATGATGTTCTGAAAGCTTTATAGTTTTGTCTTTCACGTTTATGTCTTTAATCTATATAGACATGATTTTTATGTTTTATAGTGTTAAGTAGGGGCTCAATTTTATTTTTTATACCTTTTATTGAGAAAACTTTTCTTTTTTCATTGACTTGTAACATTGCTCGGTCTTTATCAAATATATACATGTATATATGCATGGTTTCTTTTATTGGTCTATTTTTCTATCAGTGCCACATATTAACTGTAGTTTTATAATAAACTTTATAATAGCAGGCTCCACTATTATTCCATTATTTATTTATTAAATCATAGCTGTGTGCATTAATGCAGTCATGAGTACAATGTGCTGGTTTTATATACAATTTGAAATATTTTCATCAAACTGGTTAACATAGCCTTCATAGCATTGTGTTAAGACATTTATATTCTACATTTAGTAAGTTTCACATGTACCCTTGTAAGATGCACTGTAGGTGTGGTCCCACCAGTTACTCTCCCTTCACCCATCCTCCCCCCTCCCCTTCCCTCCCTTTCCCCTTTCCCCATATTCTTGGGCTTTAATTGGGTTATACGTTTCATGTGAAAGCTATAAATTAGTTTCATAGTAGAGCTGAATACATTGGATACTTTTTCTTCCATTCTTGAGATACTTTACTAAGAAGAATATGTTCCAGCTCCATCCATGTAAACATGAAAGAGGTAAAGTCTCCATCTTTCTTTTAGACTGCATAATGTTCCATGGTGTACATATACCACAATTTATTGATCCATTCATGGGTTGATGAGTACTTGGGCTTCTTCCATGGCTTAGCAATTATGAATTGGGCTGCAGTAAACATTATGGTACATACGTCTTTGTTATAGTGTGATTTTTGGTTCTCTGGATATATACCTAGTAGAGTAATTGTAGGATCGAATGGCAGGTCTATTTTTAGTTCTTTAAGTGTTCTCCAAATATCTTTCCAAAAGGAACGTATTAGTTTGCATTCCCACCAGCAATGTAGAAGTGTTCCCCTTTCTCCACATCCACGCCAACATCTCTGGTTTGGGGATTTTGTGATGTGGGCTAATCTTACTGGAATTAGATGATATCTCCAAGTAGTTTTCATTTGCATTTCTCTGATGATTAAGGATGATGAGCTTTTTTCCATATGTCTGTAGGCCATGGGCCTATCTTTTTCAGAGAAGTTTCTCTTCAAGTCCCTTGTCCACCCTGAGATGAGATCACTTGTTCTTTTCTTGCTAATACATTTGCATTTTCTGTGGATTCTGGTTATTAAACCTTTGTTGGAGACATAACCTGTAAATATCTTCTCCCATTATTGTCCCATTTTGATGTTCTTTAAGTGTGTCTCGGCTTTTATTTTTTTATTTTATTTTATTTTTAATTTTTTTGTTTTGTTTTTATTAAATCATAACTTTGTACATTGATGCATTTATGGGTTCAGTGTACTGATATGATATACAATGTGGAATGCTTACATTGACTAGGTAATACATCTATCACAATTATATTCTTTTCTTAATAGTTTCAAAATATACCATTGCATCATATTAACTGTAGGTTTATAATAAACTTTATATGTAGTAGGTCAGGCTCCACTATTGTCCCATTTTGATGTTCTTTGAGGGTGTTTTGGCTTTTATTTTTTTTAATTTTCATTTCATTTCATTTCATTTCATTTTTTAGACATAGTCATACTCTGTTGCCCAGGCTGGAGTACCATGGCATCAGCCTAGCTCATAGCAACCTCAAACTCCAGGGTTCAAGCAATCCTCCTGCCTTAGCCTCCCAAATATCTGGGACTACAGGTCCCCACCATGATGCCCAGCTAATTTTTCTATTTTTAGTAGAGACAGGGTCTTACTCTTGCTCCAGCTGGTCTCAAACTCCAGAGCTCAAGGGATCCTCCCAGATTGCTAGGATTACAGACATGAGCTATTGAGCCTGATCTATCTTTCATATTCTTAGACCCTTCCATTTTCATGTAAATTTTAGAAACAGTATGTCAAAATCCCTTGAGATTTTTGAACATAGTTTAATTTGAGAGACATGCATCTTTATAGTACTGTGTTTTCCATTTCATGGTCATGTTATATTTCCTAAAGTATAATTTCATAATTTATTCTTTTTTTATATTTTCATTTTTCTTTCTGTATTGAGGCTGGGACCTTTGGAATACTTTTAGCTAGAGGTGGTGTAATGGGTATTTTTGTCTTGCACCTGATATCAAAGGAACGTCTTTAGCATTTCACCAAGTATGATGTTTACTGTGGGTTTTTCATAAATGCCATTCACTAGGCTAAGGAAATTATCTTTTAATCCTTGTTTGCATTTATTATATTTGTTTATTTGCTTTATTTGAATTTTCCAAACAACATTTATGTATCTACATACACATATTATTAAGAAAAGTCATGTATGTTCTCTCTTTTAATTGGTTAGTGTGGTGAATTATATTAATACATTTTTCATATTACAGGCAACACGAATTTTTGGAATTAACTCATTTTGATCATGATGTATTATCCTTCTTATATATTGCTGGGTTCATTTATCTAATACTTTGTTTAGGATTACTATAGCTTTACATATGAGTGAGACTCTCTTATAATTTCTTTTTTTAATATGAGCATTATCAGGCTTTACTGTCAGATTATCTTGATAAATTTAAAATAGTCTTTCTTTTTTAAAATCCTGGAATAGTTTATATTGTATTGAAATTGCATATTCCTTTCTTGTCTAGTGGAACTCATGAAAGAAGTTATTTGAGCCTAACATTTCTTTTTAGGGAGATCTTTGGTTACTGATTCATCTTTTTTCATGTTATAGGATTATTTAGGTTTTCTGTTTATTTTTGAGTTAATTCCTGAGTTTTTTCTCACAGGAATTTAGATTTTTTTGTCTGAAAATTTATTGCTATAATGCTATAAAGATTTTAATAATAAGTCTTAGCCTTTTTGTAATTTATTTATAACATCTACAGTCATGCTCTATCTCATTAATCATCTTTGTAATTTTTCTTTTTTTTTTTAGATAATTTATGTTAGTGGTTTGTATGTGTTAACTGTAACTCTTGACTTTTTTGATCCTCTATTGTATGTTTACTATTTCCTTAAATTGTTTTTCTTTTATCATTTTCTTCTCTTGTATTTCTGTTTGTGTGTCTTGGGTGTGCTTATAATCTGAATGTATTTCTTACTATGCATTATGATTGCAGAAGTTTGAAAGCTGAATGGAATAATATTGAAGCAATATCAGATCCCTATCTAAATGAGTTTAAAATACTCTTTCTTTCTTAACTTTGCAGAAGGAAAAATGATCTTAAAAGTTGTAAGTAATCTTTTAACTGATTCAGCTAAACCATCAACACCATTCAACAGTAAGTATAGTAAGAGCATTAAAATTAAAAACAAGTTCATATGGTCATTCGTAGAGTACTCTGACTTTTTAGAAATATAGTTTATTTACTCCTATATTTTCAATAGTTTCATTAAATTTTCTTTGCTTTATCTGAAATATTGTAATATGCTTTCTTATTCCTTATCACATTGAATCTATGTGAGTATAATGAATTATTCAAAATTACATACCTAGAATATACTTCTGTAAAGCAAATAATTTGTCTCAGTATGTGCGTCATTGAAAAGTTACATTCCTCCATTATTCTAATACAATTTCCTCTCACCTTAATATCCACATGCTTATTTTCCTCACCTATAGTGAAACAAGTTAAGGAAGACTCAAAAAAGATATAGTCCACATAAAACTGGAAGGGAGAAAGGCCCTTTAATGCTGGGATGATGTGTGACTGTTTTTTGGTCTATAGAAGATTTATATTTTTCAAAGTTTTCCTTTCCCTAACTACTTGGCTTCTTTTCTGCTTCTTGATCTCATTTAAAAAGCTATCACCTGTTCTTGAAAACCTTTGCAGTCTGTGAAAGACCAGAGCACGTAGTAAAAACACCTTTGAGGGGAAGTGATGAATAAAAGTGGACTTATACAAAAATTTTGTAGAAACTGAATTTTTACTTGGGTACGGGTATGTTAAATTTTGTTTATTGCTTAACTGACTTCTAAAAACAAAGCCCATTGATATGTTTTAAAAGCCCTTTAACCCAGAATTCCTCCTACAATATGTCTACCTCTCTTTAGGCTGTGAGTGTTGTTTTAAAAAGGGCTTTACCCCAGCTTCATCATATGTTCTATATTATTCTTATATTTACAGATTTGCTTAAAGAGATTACAGTGCTTAAAAGTATCAGAAATGATAATATGCCTGTAAATGAACTGTGCTCCAAATTCTTGAGTGCTGGAATTCCACTAAGCAACCAGACATTCCAGGAGATCTTGAGACAAGCATCTATTGATGGTGAATCCTTTTGAAAGAGCAATCTATGCTGAGCTTAATGAAGTCCTAGTTTTACTGTGTACTTGGGGTATCTGTTGTATATATGTGCATTTTATTTTATTTTTTGATCAGTGTTTAATTTTTTAACTGGCAAATGAAAAGTTATGTGTATTTATGGTGTACAATATGATGTTTTGATATATGTATACATGGTAGAATGATTAAATCAAGGTGTTAGCATATTCATCACCTCGCATCCTTATAATTTTTTGTGATAACATTTAAAATGTACTCTCAGCAATTTTCAAGTATAGATTATTATTAACTATGATCACTTTGCTGTACAATAGATCTTTAGAACGTATTCTTCTTGTCCAACTAAAACTTTGTTCCCATTAACCAGCGTCTCCCTCACTGCAGCCTCTGGTAACCCCATTATACTCTCTGCATCTGTGAGTTCCACTTGTTTAGATTCCACATATAAGTGAGATCATGCAGTAAATGTCTTTCTGTGTTTGGCTTTTTTCACTAAGTATAATCTCCTCCAGGCTCATCTGTGTTGTCACAAATGACAGGATTTCCTTCTTCTTCAAGGTTGAATAGTATTGTTTGTGTGTGTGTGTGTGTGTGTGTGTGTGTGTGCAGGTCATTAAATATGATATTGCCGATTGTGAATCAAAATTGTGTTTATTGTATCTCAAACAAGAAGCAGTACAATTAATCAAAGTATGCACCTAAATTATCAACACAGTTTTGCCGTCTTCATGTTAGCTTGTTCATGCCAGTAGTGAAGAAGCCTGGAAACAAGTGGCAATGAAATTGCCAAAGGTGTTTTCTATTTATTGACTGTTTTCCTGCAAGAAGTGGTCCAAAACCTGGCATAACCTGGTAGTCATTTTGTGCAAGATCTGGTGAATGGTAGATGACAGAGAGTTTCCAACTCTAGCTTGTGTAGTTTGAGCAGTAATGTGTGCTATGTGATCAAGAGCTCTGTTGCAAGGCTTTCTATTGACCAACTTGGCTGCTTAATTGCAAGCATCCTCATCATTTCAATGAATTGGTTGCAATATACATGTGCTGTAATTGATTGACCAGGTTTTATGAAACTGTAATTAGTAGTACCAGCTCTAGATAACCAAACAGGATACCATTAGCTTTTTTTGATGAGTATTTGGTTTTGGACTGTGTTTTGGCACTTCATCATTACCGGAACATTGTGCCAAATGCTTGTGATTATCAAAAAGGATTCATTTTTTATCAAATGTAACAATATGTTGTGGAAATGGTTTGCTTTTATGTCATAACAGTAAAGAAAGGCAAGCTTTAAGATGATTTCTCTGCTGATGCTCGTTTAATTCATTTGGAAACCATTCACCCAGCTTCTTTACCTTGCTGATTCAAATGGTCCAATTTTGTTGGAACAGCAATGTCAAACTTGCTGCTAATTCACATGTAGGTAGAGATGGATTCACTTCTATACTGCTTTCAAGCTCATCATTATCTATCTTGGTTCCCTGGTAGCTAATTTGGCTCATTTTCAAGCTTAAAATCACCAGTAGAGAACTTCTTAAACTGTCGATGTATACTATGTGTTTGTTAGCCACATCTTTCCCAAACATGTCATTGATATTTCAAATTGTCTGCAACACATTGGTTTGACATAGATCACATTTGAAAATAACATGAATTTTTGACTTATGTATGGTTTTATGAAAATTGCTCTAAAAAAACTGAAAGATAAATCACAAGCCAAAATGTGTATTTGAAAGACTGAGGATGTACCTTCATGATAAAAATGTGTAATGTCAAGAGATATCAACTGTCAAAATCAGTACTTAAGGAAATTGGACACTTAATAACCTAAATATATATCGTATTCATTAACCACTTATCTGTTGAAGGATGGACATTTCGGTTGGTTCCTTATCTTGGCTATTATGGATGAACAGTTCTGCAGTGAATATTAGAGTGCAGATATGTCATACTTATGTATTTCATTTACTTTAGATATATATGTTTTTAATTTTTTGAGGAACCTCTGTACTATTTTTATAATGGCTATGGTAATTTATTTTCCTTCCATAAATGGATAAGAGTTTCCCTTTTACCACTTCCTTGCCAACACTTGTTATTTTGTCTTTTTGGTAAAAGCCATTTTTCTAGGTGGGAGATAAACTCCATATTAGAAACATAATGAGAACATAAGCAGATTGAAAACTCATTAAAATGCATAGTTTTTCCTCCTGGAAATATTTTTAAGAGGCATCCCATTTTTATTTAGTATCTAACCTATATAATATGTACATCAAATTTTAATTATTTAAGCCAAGTATTAATAAATTACTTTAGAATTTCTTCCTTGCTATGAGAAAACAGATTCTGGGTAAAACTGTTTTAAATTAGCTGGTTTTTATCCTGCAAATTTTTAGATATTACAAAGTTTTCTCATTTCTATCTTGTCATGCCTATTTAATGATTACTGGCATTGACATTTGCCATTTCATAATCCTTGTATTTTCTTTTCTAGAAAATAGTGAAGTATGTCTCAAAGACATTTTGGAGAATTTGAATACAAGTAAGCCAGATCCTATATTTGAAGGTGGGTCAATTAATATTTTATTTTAAGATATTTGTCGGCTTGGCGCCTGTGGCTCAAGAGGCTAAGGCACCAGCCACATACACCTAAGGTGGTGGGTTTGAATCCAGCCTGGCCTGCCAAACAACAATGACGGCTGCAACCAAAAAAATAGCCGGGCGTTGTGGTGGGTGCCTGTGGTCCCAGCTACTCGGGAGGCTGGGGCAGGAGACTCACTTGAGCCCAGGAGTTGGAGGTTGCTGTGAGCTGTGATGCCACAGCACTCTACCCAGGCTGATAGCTTGAGGCTCTGTCTAAAAAAAAAAAAAAAAAAAGAAAAAAAGAAATTTGTCATAGTTTCATTACCTTGTCTTATTATTTTTAACAGCATCATGAGATATAATTAATATAAAAACTGTATGTTTTTATATATTTTTACAATTGTAGACATGCATACCCCTATGAAACCATTATCACAATCAAGATAATAAACACATCTTTCATTCCTACACCTTCTTCCTGCCCCTTTGTGATCTCTTTCTTTTCTCCAACCTCTATCCTCACATTCCCAGGAAACCACTCATCTGCTTTCTTTTACTGTAGATTCATGTATACATTTTCCAGAATTTTATATAAATAGTTGTGCTCTTTTTTTTTTTTTTGCTGGCTTATTTCACTCAGCATAATTAGATTTATTCATATAGCATGTATTCATAATTTTTTTATTTTATAGATTTTTTTATAAATATATTTCATTTTATAGATATACCACAGTTTATCTGTTTACTTGGTGATATACACTAGGTTGCTAACATTTGGGGGCTCTGGCAAATAAAGTTGATGTGATCATTCATGTACAAATTGTTGTATGCACATATGCTTTCATTTCTCTTGGGTAATTACCAAGGGTTATGTTGGTTGGATCTTATGGTAAGTGTATGTCTAATTTTTTTTATTGTTTGGGATTCATTGGGGGTACAAAGAATTAGTTACACTAATTGCATTTGTTAGATAAAGTCCCTCTTATACTTGTGTCCTGCCTCCAAGAGGTGTGCCATACACTGTGTCCCCCAGCTCCCTCCCTTCTCCCCTCTCTCTGCTACCTCATTCCCCCTACCCTACCCCTTGTTTTAGCTCATCTGCTGCCTTCATTTTAGAATTGAGTACATTGGATTCTTGCTCCTCCATTCTTATGATGCTTTATTAAGAATATGTTCCACCTCCATCCAGGTCAATACAAAAGATGTAAAGTCTCCATTTTTTAAAATGACTGAATAGTATTGGTATATATAAATCACAGCTTGTTAATATATTCCTGGGTTGGTCGGCATTTAGGTTGTTTTCACATTTTGTTGATTGTAAATTGAGCTGCGATCAATAGTCTAGTGCAAATATCCTTATGATAAAAGGATTTTTTTTTCTTCTGGGTAAATGCCTAGTAATGGGATTGAGAGATCAAATGGGAGGTCTAATTTGAGTTCTTTGAGGATTCTTCATACTTCCTTCCAAAAATGTATTAGTTTGCAGTCTCACCAGCTGTATAAAGGTGTTACTGTCTCTCCACATCTATGTATGCCAGCATCTGCAGCTTTGAGACTTTGGTGATGTGGGCTATACTCACTGGGGTTAGATAATGTCTCAGAGTAGTTTTGATTTGCATTTCTCTGATAATTAGGGATGATGAGCATTTTTTCATATGTTTGTTAGCCATTCGTCTTTCTTCTTTAGAAAAAGTTCTCTTTATCTCTTTTGCCCAGTGATACATGGGATTGTTGTGTCTTTTTTTGTTGATTAATTTGTGTTCTCTGTAGATCCTAGTTATCATGCTTTTGTCTGATTTATAACATGCAAATATCTTTTCCCATTCTGAAGATTGTTTGCTTTGGTTGTTGTGTCCTTAGCTATACAGAAGCTTCTCAGTTTAATTAAGTCCTATTTGTTTATTTTTGTTGTTTTTGCAATTGCCACAGAAGTCTTTTTCATAAAATCTTTTCCCAAGCTGATATTTTGAAGTGTTTTCTCCACACTTTTTGGAGGATTTTTATTGTTTCATGCCTTAAGTTTGAATCTTTTATCCAGCTTGAATCCATTTTTGTGAGTGGAGAAAGGTGTGGGTCCAGTTTCAGTCTTTTACATGTGGTTATCCAGTTCTCCCAATACCATTTATTAAATAGAGATTCTTTCCCCCAATGTATGTTCTTGTTTGGTTTATCAAAGATTGGGTAGCTATAAGATGTTAGTTTCATCTCATGGTTTTCTATTCAGTTCCAAATGCCCATGTCTCTATTTTTGTTGCAATACCATGCTGTTTTGATTACTATGGTCTTGTAGTATAGGCTAAATTATGGTAGGGAGATAACCCCAGCTTTGTTTTTATTACTAAGAATTGTCTTCGCTATATGGATTTTTTTCTGGTTCTATACAAAATGAAGAATTATTTTTTCCAAATCTCGGAAGTATGATGATGGTATTTTAATGGGGAATTGCATTGAATTTGTAGATTGCTTTGGGAAGTATAGACATTCTCACAATATTGATTATTCCCTGCCATGAGCATGGTATGTTTTTGCATTTGTTGATATCTTCTGCTATTTCTTTTCTTAGGATTTCATAATTTCTTTTGTAGAGGTTCTTCACCTCTTTTGTTAAGTATATTCCTAGGTATTTCATTTTTTTGGAAGCTACTGTGAAGGGAATTGTGTCCTTGATTAGCTTCTCATCTCAGCTGTTATTGGCATATACAATGGCTTCTGATTTATGGATATTGATTTTTTTTTTTTTTTTTTGCAGTTTTTGGCCAGGGCTGGGTTTGAACCTGCCACCTCTGGCATATGGGGCTGGTGCCCTGCTCCTTTGAGCCACAGGAGCTACCCTATGGACATTGATTATATATACTGAGACATTACTGCATTTTTTGATGACTTCTAGGAGTCTTGTGGTTGAGTCTTTGAGATTCTTTAAGTACAAGATCATATTGTTAGCAAAGAGAGTTTGACCTCTTCTGCTCCCATTTAGATGCCTTTTATTTCCTTTCCTTTTTTTTTTTGAAACAGAGCCTCAAGCTATCCCCCTGGGTAGAGTGCTGTGGCATCACAGCAACCTCCAACTCCTGGGCTCAAGCAAGTCTCCTGCCTCAGCCTCCCAAGTAGCTGGGACCATAGGCGCCCACCACAACACCTGGCTATTTTTTGGTTGCAGCCATCATTGTTGTTTGGCGGGCCTGAGCTGGATTCGAAGCCGCCACCTTAGGTGTATGTGGCTGGTGCCTTAGCCACTTGAGCCACAGGTGCCGAGCCTATTTCCTTTTCTTGCCTGATTGTACTGGCAAGAACTTCCAGCACTACTAGAATAGTAGTGGTGATAGGGGACAACCTTGTCTGGTTCAGTTTTAAGTGGAAAAGCTTTCAGTTTTACTCCCTTCAGTATAATATTAGCTGTGGGTTTGTCATAGACAGCTTCGATCAGTTTAAGAAGTGTGCCACCTATGCCTAAATTCTTACATATTCTAATTAGAAAAGGATGTTGAATTTTATCAAATGCTTTTTCTGTATCTATTGAGAGGATCATATGGTCTTTGTTTTGGCCTCTGTTGATATGGTGAATTACATTTATGGACTTGCATATGTTAAACTGTCCTTGCATCCCTGGGATGAAACCTACTTGATTGTAATGAATGATTTTTTTAATGTGCTGCTGTAATCTATTGGCTAGGATTTTATTGAGAATTTTTGCATCTATATTCATTAGTGAAATTGGTCTGAAGTTCTCCTTTTTAGTTTGATCTTTTCTTGGTTTTGGTATCAGGGTGATGTTTGCTTTGTAGAACGTGTTGGGGAAGATTCCTTCCTTCTCAATTTTTTTATAATAATTTCTGCAGCATGGGTATAAGCTCTTCTCTGAAGGTTTGATAGAATTCTGGTGTGAAGCCATCTGGTCCACGGCATTTTTTTGTTGGGAGATTTTTTATTGTTTGTTCAATCTCAGTTCTTGAAATTGGTCTATTCAAGAGATCTATTTCTTCTTGGTTAAGTCTAGGGAGAGGATACAAATCCAGGTATTGGTCCATTTCCTCCACATTGTCAAATTTCTGGGCATAGAGTTTCTTGTAGTACTCATATATCTCTGTGACATCTGTTAATTCCCATTTATTGTTTCTGATGAAGGTTATTAGAGGTTTTACTTTTCTGTTTCTAGTTAATCTGGCCAAAGGGTTATTGATTTTATTTATTTTTTCAAAAAATTGACTTTTTGTTTAGTTAATTTTCTGAATGATTCTTTTGTTTTCAATTTCACTAATCTCTGATTTAATTTTGGTTATTTCTTTTCTTCTGCTGGATTTGGAATTAGACTGTTCTTCTTTTTCCATTTCCACAAGATGGTTCATGAGTTTGTCAATGCACTCTCTGTGCTTTCTGAATGTAGGCATCTAATGTGATAAATTCCTCCACACCCCCCTTTTTTTTTTGAGACAGAGTCTCAAGCTGTCGCCCTGGGTAGAGTGCCATGGCATCACATTTCACAGCAACCTCAAACTCTTGGGCTTAAGTGATTCTTTTGCCTCAGCTTCCCAAGTAGCTGGGACTATAGGCACCCACTACAATGCTTGGCTATTTTTTTGTTGCAGTTGTCATTGTTGCTTAACAGATCCAGGCTGGGTTTAAACCTGCCATTTTAGGCGTATGTGGCCAGTGCCCTTGCCATTGGAGCTACAGGTGCCACCAAAATTTCCTCTTAAGATTGCTTTTGTTGTATCCCACAGGTTTTGATAACTTGTGTCTTCATTGTTGTTATGTTTGAACAATTTATCAATTTCCTCTTTTATCACTTCCTGAACTCAACTGTCATTTAGCATAAGGTGTTTAATTTCCATATCTTTGTGTGAGGATGAACATTTTTGTTGGAATTGAGTTCCATATTTATTGCCTTGTGGTCTGAGAAGATATAATTTCTATTCTTTCAATTTTGCTAAGGTTTGATTTGTATCTTAGTATTTGGTCTATTTTGGAGTATGTATCATGGAGTGATAAGAAAAATGTATATATTCTTTAGCTTTTCGATGATGTGTTCTGTATATGTCTATTAGTCCAATTTGTTCTAGGGTCACATTTAAGTCCTTTGTTTCTTTGTTTAGTTTCTATTCAGAGGATCTGTCCAGTTCTGTGACAGGGGTGTTAAAATCCCCAGCTATTATGGTGTTATAGGGTATCATATTGCTCAGACCCATCAAAGTCTGTTTCATAAATTGGAGAGCATTTAATTGGGTGCATAAATATTTAAAATTGAAATGTTTTCTTGTTGTATTGTTCATTTGACCAGTATAAAGTGTCCATCTTTGTCTGTCTTAGCTTTAGTTGCTTTAAATCTGCTTGTATCTGAAAATAAGATTGCAACTCCTCCTTTCTTCTGATTTCCATTTGGTTGAAATATTGTTTTCCATCCCTTAACCCTGAGGCTTGATTTGTCCTTCCTGGCTGGTTGTGTTTTCTGCAGACAGCATATGGATGACTTGTGCTTTTATCCAGTTAGCCAGCCTGTACCTCTTCAGTGGGGAATTCAGTTCATTGACATTTATTGAGAGAATTGATAAGTGTGTTGGAGTTATATTCATCTTATTTTATGAAAGTCTATTGTGTAGTTTTATTTTTTCCACCATTGTGGAAGTTAAGTTTTGGCCTTTAGCTTCTGGGTGTTTACTTTGGTGGTGGTCAGTATTGATAATAGGCCTTAGTATTTTCTGTAGAGCTACTCTTGTTGTGGCAAATTTCCTTAGTATTTGTATATCTGCAAAAAATTTGATTTCTCCATCAATGTTGAAGCTTAGTTTAGCAAGATACAGAATTCTGGGCTGAAAATGCTGACAGTAGATGACCATGCTCTTCTGGCTTGGAAAGTTTTAGTTGAAAAGTCTCCTGTCATGCTAATGGCTCTGCCTCTGTAGGTCAGTTGGCACTTTTGGCTGCTTGCAGAATTTTTTTTCATTTTGACTTTGGACAGGTTCATTACAATGTGTCTTAGAGATGGTCTGTTTGAGTTGAGATGACCCAGGGTTTGATATCCATCTGAAAGGAGTGTGTCGGGATCTTTAGGAAAACTTGGAAAGTTTTCACTTATGATAGTCTCCAGTAGGGCTTCTGTTCCTTTGGGACAATCTTCTTCCCCTTCAGGGATCCCTATTATTCATATGTTTGAATGTTTCATGTAGTCTTGTAGTTCTCTAAGTGACTATTCTGCTTTCTCTGTCTTCTTTTCTGCCTCTTTGACTACCTGGGTTAACTTGAAAACTTTATCCTCTAGCTCTGAGGTTCTTTCTTCTCCATGGTCTAACCTATTTTTGATTCTTTCCACTGCATTTTTACATCCTCTAATTGTCTCCTTCATTTCCTTAAGCATCACCATATCCTTTCTGTGTTCTCCATATCTCTTGTCCAACTTTTGGTTCTATCATTCCATTTTCTTGTCCATTCCTTTTACTGTCTTTATTATCCATATTTTAAATTCCCTTTCTTTCAGATCCATTAATTCTTTATAGGTGGAGTCTTCTCCAGTAGCTGTCTCATGGTCCCTTGGTGGAGGTTGCTCTGTTTTGGTTTTTCATGTTGCCTGAATTTTTCTGTTGGTTCTGTATCATGTCTTCTTTCTACTTGTTTACCACCTTGTCTTCCTTTTTCCTTCTTGCTTCCTCCTTTGCTTCAAATTACCTCATCTCAGAATTAGGTCAAAAGGAAGAGAAGGGTAAAGTGCAAGCAGGGAGAAACAAGAGAAAAAAAAAAGAAGAAGAAAAAAGAAAGAGAAAAAGAAAAGAAAAAGAAAAAAGAGAAAGGGGAGATAAAAGAAAATAATTGCAGAACAGGAGAGAATGAGGACAGGAAGACAGAATGAAAGTGATAGAAGAAATGGTATTGATTGACATGGTGTTAAGGCCTCTCTTATAAGTCAAGGATTTTGAGGGGCTAGGCTAGAAGCATTCCTTGAAATCAGGAGCTCCTTGCCAGTTTGAGCACAGCCAAACTCTTCCTTATGACCAAAAATATAGGAGTCTGTGCTCTTGATGGAAGTTAAGAATATAACCAACCAAACAAATTAGCAAAAACAAAAACAACAAAACAAAACAAAAAGCTCAAATAGCCAAAAACATATTATCTAGAAAAGCCCAGTCCTAGATATTTTCAGGGAACACTCTGAGGAGCTTCTCTCTTGTAGACAGTCCTGTGCCCAGTGGATGGTGGCCCACATGCAGCAGAGGGAGGTGGGTGGTGCAGGCAAGGCAACTGCCACCATGTCTGAAGTAGCTGAGGCAGCAACTGCCATGTATGTCTAACTTTTGAAGAAACTGCCAAACCCTTCTCTAAAATGGTTACTCCATTTTACATTCCCATATCAGTAGTGTATGATAGTTTCAATTCTTCCAAATACTTGCAAATAGGGGATAGTCATCAGTCTTGTAAATTTTAACCATTTGACAAATACATACTAATATTTCTTTGTGGTTTTACTTTGTATTTCATTAATGACTAATGATGTTGAGTATCTTCTCATATACTTATTCATATATCTTCTTTGGTGAAGTGTCTGTTCATATTTTTTGCTTATTTTTTCCAAGTTGGGTTGTTTATTTTCGTATTTACTTATGTATTCTGAATATAGGTCTTTTATCATTTATATACTTAGCAAATATTTTGTTTGAGTCTTTTGCTTGTCTTCTCACTTTCTATAGAGTGTCTCTTTTTTTGGGTCAGAGTCTCACTTTGTTCCCCAGGCTAGAGTGTCATGGCATCAGCCTACCTCAAAGCAACCTCAAACACTCAAGTGATCCTCTTACTTCAGTCTCCCAAGTAGCTGGGGACTACAGGTGCTTGCTATGACTCCTGGCAAATTTTTCTATTTTTTAGTAGAGACAGGGTTTCATTCTTACTCAGGCTGATCTCAAACTCCTGAGATCAAGCAATTCTCCCACTTTGGCCTCCTAGAGTACTAGGATTACAGGCATGAGCCACTGTGCCTGGCCAGATGTGATATACATTTGTAACTATTTTATATGAGTAGAGGGCAGAGATGTGTAGAAAATGGTACATAATAATATAGGAAATAAAAATACATAGGAGATAATGGTATGTATAAGTGATAAAGATATAAAGGTATATAACAATATAGGAGATAAGACTAAGGAATAGAGCCAAAAAGGCAGAGAGAATAATCCTGTGAGAGAAGAAAATACAGAGGCTGAGATAGCAGTTTGTAAACAAAGTAGATTGGCTGCCCAAAGAAGGCCTTAGTTCATGGATCTTTCCCTTTTCCTTCTACCCTCTTCTCTTCCCTTTTCTATTTTAATTAAGAAAGAGAAAATTATCTTCTTGCATGTTAGGACTCTTTGGGATGGTTGGGAAAATTAGAGTAGCTTCAACCTAAATTTGAGATGTGTGTCTGAAACCTTTTAGAAAAGTCCAATTTTAATGAAGAATTAGATATGGAGATGGAAACAGCTGTCTGGCTTGTTGGAAAATAAGACTTAACTAGTAAGTTAATTCTGTAACTCTTTTGTGTAGTTGTACTTTGCCTCTTTAAAAAACATTTATATTATCTTCAATAAACTAGAGATTATGATCCAAATAGTGACTGTAAGTGTATAATAATTTATATAACTCATTGATGAAGCAGTCAAGCCATGGCTGTAATCCTAAGAATCCTGTTTAGAGCAGAAAACTCCTAGAAGCTTTGATAAGACCAGGGAGGAATATGAAATGCTTTAGCTTGAAAGATCTTCTAGTGTTTTTATTTTCTTCACAGCCAAACCCTTACTTCTATTTCCTATAACCTTGAAACTCTTCAGTTCACACTTCATCTATAGATTTTGTGGCTTCTGACTCTTGTAAATAGGTATCTTTTAGATTAAAAAGCAAAGGCTAGGTTTTCACTTTTAGGTTAAAAATTTAGGCATGTTATATTTCTAAAACCTTAATACTCCCACACTTTTGGAGGAACTTTTAATAGGAGGGCAAAAGTTGTGATCAAAAAACAAAAAATGAATGGGGCAACAGAATCTGTAAGAACAAAATTTAGGCCTGACATTTTTATATTCTGAAATTTGAGTAATTCCATATAGGCAGAGATGATCCCTGAAGTAAACATTTCCCTAGTGAATGCAATAATGGTGGTAATTTAATTTTTAAAAACTGATCATTTTATTTAGTTAAATTTTAAAGAGCTTTGTCAACTTTATTTTTTGATAATGATATAAATAACTCGTGAAAATACTTAAGATAAAGTATTTTTGGGTTAATTTTATTAATTTTGGAATTGCAGAGATAATGTTAATTGAGATAAGTTTGGACAGTAGTCTAGAATTTTAGATACATTATTGTTCTAAAGTTTAGAAAGTAAACACTCTATTTCTAAAGAGTATTGTGACTTACAGAATCTCCATTTGCTTTCAGAAATATACAGTGCTCTTCATACTGCCAACCTGATGAACTATGACAAAATTCAAGTTAATGACTTGGAAAATGCTTTTGACCACCTCAATATTTCTTTAAAGCCTGAAGAACATCAGATGTTAGAGAAAACACTTGATGCTGATGGTATATTTAATCATTATAAGTTGATTTTCTTAATAAAGTGACAGAATTTTTTCATCCCCCTTCCTTATTTTCCATTCATCACTTTCCAACAATTTTTCTCATTACTATCCTAATGGAAAAACAATCTGCTGAGATCATAAATTTATCTTGATGGAAAATCTTTAAAAGACTTTTTAAAGTCCTTGCTTTATAGCCATATCAAGCATTCTGCATTGATTTCTTTAGGTTGTGATTGATTGTTTTGATCACCTACTATATAAATTAGAGAAGGTGAAGTATAGTAGTCCTCCTTTATCTGTGGGGGATATGTTCTGAGGCCCTCAGGGGATGCCTGAGACTGTGGATAGTACTGAACTCTATGTATATTATGTTTTTTCCTATATATACTTACCTATGACAAAGTTTAATTTATAATTTAGGCCCAGTAAGAGGTTAAGAACAATAACTGATAATAAAATAGAACAATTATTACAATATGCTAGTAGCATCACTACTTTTACACTTTGAGGGGATATATGTAAGTAAAACAAGGGCTACTTAAACATAAGCAGTGAAATACTGCCACAGTCAATTCAATTATTGAGACAACTATTAAGTGCTTAATGGATAAGTAGCATGTACAGTATATATATTCTGGGCAAAGTGATGATTCACATCTGGGACTAGACAGAGTGAAATAGCATGAGATTTTATCACACTACTCAGGATGGTAGTAAATTTAAAACGTATCAATTATTTATTTCTGGAACTTTCCATTTAATATTTCAGACTGCAATTGACCATGTATAATAAAAACCAAGGAAAGTGAAACCACAGATAAGGAGGGACTACTGTAACTCTCTGAGAAAGTCAGGCTGAAGTGAACCTTCGGTTAGGAAGAGACTAAGGCAGACTTTCTCCCCTCTGTCTGAGATATTTATGACATGAGGTTGCTTGAGCGTGAATCCTCTGAGCTTTCAAAGAAAATACTATATATATCACTTATAATTTTCATGTTTTGGCAGTTATTGTGTGAACTTTTTTATTAATTAAAAATAAATTCCTGAAGTATTTTCTTTTTTACATTATTATAAAAGATGCATTTGGCATTACTTCATCAATCATTTTGACTGGGTCCACTGCATGGCTCAACTCTAGGGACATGTTGTCATCTGATTGAACAGTACCGCTTGGTATTGTGTAGTGCTCAGTCACCTGGTTATATGTGTAAGACCTAATCCTGAATGCCTGTTGTATGTCAAACTTATGTAACATGTAGTATATTCAAACAAATATAAAATATTCACATTTAGGAAACTTACAGTCTATATAAAGTACTACAAAAAGGTGTATAATAATAGAGTAGTTCAGTGAGCTGTGCAATGTTATGTGGTAATTCTTAAAAAATGCCAGAGATATGATTATACTGAGTTGTATAAGAGTTCAGAGAAGAGCTAGTTCATTTGCTGAAAGTTTATTGGACACCTAGTTTTTGTTAGGCACTAGATACATAAAAATAAAAGACATTTTCACAAAAATTTAGTTTTTTGAGATGACAAACAGTGAGAATACCAATTGTTAAATACTACGGTAAAGATAAACATAGTGTTAATGGTAACATACACAATAGGTACCTAAACTACATAGGCTTGGCTAGGTTAGTCAGAAGAGGCTTTCTGGAGATGATGATACTGGAGTTGAGTACAGTTGAAATGTAATGAATATTCCTCATTTTATTGTACTTCACCTTATTGTGCTTTGCAGATAATTAAGACTTTTACAGATTAAAGGTTTGTGGCAACCTTGCCTCAAGCAAGTCTCATAGTACAACTTTTCTAACAGTGTGTGCTCATTTCATGTCTCATGTCACATTTTGGTAATTCTCACAATATTTCAAACTTTTTCTATATTTTTATATTCGTTATGGTGATTCATGATCTTTGATGTTGCTACTGTAATTGTTTTGGGGCACCATGAACTGTGCTGGTATAAGATAGAGAACTTGATCAATAAATATTGAGTGGGTCCTAAATGCTCTATCCACTGGTTGTTCTCCTGTCTCTCTTCCTCTTCTTGGGCCTCTCTATTCCCTGAGAGTATCTGTGAAGACTGAGAGAGGTGAGGAAACTGTAGAAGAAAAGTTTAAAGATAAGAGAGATTGGTTCATGAGGTTTATGGAAAGAAGACATTTCCATAACATAAAAGTTCAATATAGCAGTATTAGGCTAAATAATAATCCTACAATGGTCTCTATGTGTTCAAGAGAAAGGAAGGGTCTAATGTTACTCACTTTAAATCAAAAGCTAGAAGTGTTTAAGCATAGTGAGGAAGGCATGTCCAAAACTGAATTAGGCTTAAAGCAAGACCTTTTGTGCTAAGCAGGTAGCCAAGTTGTGAGTTCAGACCAAAAGTTCTTGAAGAACATTAAAGATGCTACTATAGTGAATACATGAATGATAAGAAAGTGAAACAGCCTTATAGCTGATATGGAGAAAGATTTAGTAGTCTGGATAGAAAATGACAACACTCATAACATTTCCTTAAGTCAAAGCCTCATCCAGAGTAATGCTCTAACTATCTTAAATTCTGTGAAGTCTGAGAGAGATGAGGAAGCTGTAGAAGAAAAGTTTGAAGATAACAGAGGTTGGTTTATGAGATTTAAGGAAGCCATCTCCATTAACATAAAAGTGCAAGATGAAGTAATAAGTGCTGGTGGAGAAGCCTCAGTAAGTTATCCATCTAGCTAAGACAATGAAGGTAGCTATACCAAACAACAGATTTTTGATGGAGATGTCATTAAGAACATTTGTGATTCAAGGCAAGAGTTAACATTAATAGGAATTTGGAAGAAGTTGATTATAATCCTTATGGATGGGCTTAAGGAATTCAAGACTTTATTGGAGGAAGTAAATTGATATGTGGATATGTAGTGGAAATAACAAGAGAACTGGAAGTGGAACCTAAAGATGTGACTGAATTGATGCCATCTCATGATAAAACTTGAATAGATGAGGAATTGCTTCTTATGGATGTACAAAGACAGTGGTTTCTTAAGGTAGAATCTACTTCAGGTGAAGATACTATGAACATTGTTCAATTAATAGCAGAGGTCTGGAAGATTATATAAACTTAGCTGTAAACCCTTATGTTAGGGTTTTGGAGGATTGACTCCAGTTTTGAAAGAAGTTCTACTGTAGGTAAAATACTATTTTACCTAACTATACTATACTATAATATAGTATACTATACTATATACTGTATATATACTATATATACTATACTATATATACTATATATATACTATACTATACTATATAACACTATACTATACTATATAATATATAGTATACTATACTATAATATAGTAAAGTTAAAATACTATTACTATACTATATATATACTAGTATATATATATACTATATATAATATAGTAAAGGTACAATACTATTACTATACTATATATATACTATACTATATATTATAGTATACTATACTATACTATACTATACCTAAAAACAACATTGCATGCTACAGAGAGATCTTTGATGAAAAGAAGAGTCAGTTGATGCAGTAAACTTCATTGTTGTTCTTGTTTGAGAAATTGCCACAGCCACCCCAACCTATGGCAACTCCTATCTGATTGGTCAGTCAGCAGCCATCAACATTTAGGCAAGACCCTCCACCAGAAAAAAAAAGATTACAACTTGCTAATGGCTCAGATGATCCTTAGCATATTTTAGCAAGAAAGTTTCTTAAAAAATATTTTTAATACTTTAAGGCATATACATTGATTTTTTTAATACATAATGCTATTGCACATTTAATAGACTGCAGTACATAAGTACACAGTTTTTACATGCACTAGGAACCCCTTCACTCCAGTTTTGGTTACTTGCTTTATTGTAGCACTCTGGAATAAGTCCACAGTATCTTTGAGATATGCCAAGAATTGGGGGTATAGGGAAGGGGCCTGGAAGGAGTTGGGAGAGAATACACAGTTTGTGAAAATTATAGAATAAAGAAGTTTTATCAAGAAGTTAAGAACTCTAAGTAGTCCAGAATATTGGCATCAGGGCAAAGGTGTACATGTGCACTTGTGTATGTATATGACTGTGTGTATATTTTTCCACCAAGCTCCACAGCTCCTTTTGATGTGAATCAAAGTTTATTTATTGACTTGAGAGTGGATAGTAGAAGAGAGAGAGAAATGAAGTGGCCATATAATTAAGGAAGTTCAGCAAGGATTTTACTTATTTGTTTTTTCTGAGTAAAAGGATTTGAACTTTATTCTGAAGGCTCTAAAGAGTCACTGAAGGATTCAAAGTTGAAAAGTTAATTTTGTCTTTATAGTGAGCATTCTGATAGTAGTAAGAGAAGACTGAAGGAGGGTAAGATTGGAAGCAGGGAGACATTATAAAAGGCATGCAGTAATCCAGGTTAAATCCTGTGAGTGTTGAAGTATGGCATTAGTTCTAGAGATGGATAGAAGGGAAAAGGTTTGAGATGAAGGAGGCACAACCTCACTACTATTTAAGTTAGGGAAGGGAGGATGAGTAACAGATTTCTGGCTCAGGAGACTTATTTCATGGTGATACTTGATAATAAGATAGGGAATACAGGAGGAGAATCAGGTTTTGGTACAGAGACGAATAGTTCAGTTTAGGATGTATTGTATTTGAGGTACCTGTGAACATAAGAGTTGAAGATATGCACTAGACAGTGGTCTAGGCTGTAAATAGAAAATTGGGAGTCATCAAGATATAGTTTATACTTACAGGAGAATTCAGGTAATGTTTATGGAGTGTAATGAGAAGATAGCTGAGGACATAGCATTAGGGCATGCTGATGTTTAAGTAATAATAGAGAAAGAGAAATTTCTAAAGGACATCAATAAGAAGTAACCAGAACAATAGGAGGGAGACCAAGGGAAAGTTGTATCAACAAAACAAAGGAAAAAGTTTAGAGAAAGTGTTACCTAAGACAAAATTGTAAAAGTCCTCATTAGTTTGGCAGTAAGTTGCTAGCTGTTGAACTTGGTAACAATGGTTTTAGTTGAGTGGAA